CTTTGCTTAGAAGCAGAAAGATTTCCGTTACTAAAAATAATAATCTAAGATAGAAAGTTCAATTCCTAGTTATGAATGGGTGGGCACGTTTGAAGAATGTAATCTCCGTAACTTTAAATCAGTCCTTTTAGAGAACCTGAATGAATAATGTGGGGAACAGAATCAAATATTTTTTGGCCCTTATTTATATTTTTTGAGGCCTTTGCAATTCTCAGTGCCAGCTGGGTTTACACTCAGGAAAAGTACTACATGGACATGCTTTTATCTAGCACAGAGGCTGCTACTCTGCCAAGTAGCAAACACTGCCAGGATATGAAGGTCCCACAGGAGAGCGTTTAAGGACCTTTTGCAAGAAAAAAGGGGGTAAACTAATATATGCTTTGTCTTATTTTCTAATATTGTATTTATCATCTCCTAAAAGAGGAATGCTTTAAGGTTGTGATTTTTTGTTTTGAATGGTTTGCAGTCTCAAAACTCAGTGTTTTGTACACTTACTGCACCAAATTAAAATTTGGCAAAAACCTGTTGAAGCCAAAGCAGACATTCTGGAGTGCTAGCTTAGCAACAGAAGTTCACAGTATTGAGTTCTGAGTTAAACACGGCGTGAAGATCATCTCTTACAAACATTTAAAAAGCAAGAGGGGAAAAAAAAAAGAGTTTTCGATTGATACTACTTCTAAAACTATGTCTCAGAGGCTTGGTGCTGCCACCAAGAATGAGAGGTAATACAAGAGTAGGATTCAAGATGATCATATTCCTATATGCAGCTTTAAAACTCTGTACTATTTATACAAGTGGTGATAGTTAGAAGTGTCATAAGGTGTGCTAGATCACTGTCAGATTTTATCGTGTTTTGCTTTCCTAGTGACAACCTGAACCACTGCTAAAATAACTGGACATGATGGTGATATTAACTGCATGATGCATATTATTGATTTATTCTTTGTTTTGCACCATTACCCCTTTACCAATGAGTTCTCTGCATTTTTCTCACATACTTAGTCAAGCACCAAATTATGAAGCAAGAACAGGCTCCTATAATAGCCCCTAATGGAACCTTACATAAGCAATTATTGCTGCCACCTCTTATTTGTTGCTTCCAGCCATTGAGGTTTCTGCAGTACTGGATTGTCCTCAGAACAATTATGAAGTAGGTGAGACTTGGACAGTCTAATTTTTACCCTTGAAATTAGTTTGCTTCATATTTGGTTACTCAAGTGCTGAAATAGGTTTGCAAAATTGTTTCTTGGTAGCATTTGTGCATTGTAGCTACAATGAAGTTGATTTTCTGTTAGATCAGGAGTGGCATCTAGACCATTTTGTCACTCCTCCTGAGATCTGCAAGTGGTGTGTTAATTGGAAATGTTAACTATAGGTATATCGTCAAAATTGCTATCTCTTATAAACTGATGACAGCAGTGGCAACTGTGGTAGAGTTTATTTCATGAAAAAAAAATATGAGACAGGGTAGTGGATTGTGATAACAAGTTTTCAGGCTTTGCTTTACAATAGTAAGTGATCCTGTAAGTCAGGAAGAGTGCAATTTCCCAAGCCTTTTGTTTCAGACTCTAAGAAATTAAATTGTTGAATTCAAAAGGTGTATGTAAATATATATTCCGCTTCTGTGTTAAACGGTTGGATTCTTCTATAGACCACTATTAGAAAAATATGGAGCAGAAGGAACCTTTGCAATGCCACCATCTGTGTCACCAAAGTTAGGTTCTCTAGGCAATCCATTGCATTGGGGTATTAAATAATGATTTCTTATTGTAAAGGGTGCTCACCATAGTTGGTGTGGTAGGAAAAACAGATATCTCTTTCTCATGGCCTATAAAGCAGCAAACGTTGTGCTGTCTTCACTGGCATAACTGTCTGCTTCCAACCATGGAAAAAATGTGGAATAATTTCAGGGGGATTTGCTGTTGTGTTATGTGATAAGCAGTGTGTCATAAATAAAAATGTAGACAATGAATCTTGGTAGGTGAGGTAGAGATGTGGAGAAAGATGTGTAAAATAGAGAAATATGACTTTGAAATGGACTGATTAATACTGCATATAGGCATATATATAAATGATGCCACTTACTGTTAAATATAATACTAGGCCAAATGGTTTATTTATAGTAGTTGTTTCAGGTGAGAGAGTGTATGTATTTTCAGTTGCAAAGCACCTTTTGAAATCCATGCATTGTTTTTCTGACTTCACCATCAAACATCAAGAAGAGGCTAATACTCTTTTTGGTCAATAAATTACTATTTCCATCTTTACTTTTCTAGCTTGTTTTGTTTTACCGTTGAAAGATTAACTCTGATTTTTCTGTAACAGGCACATAGTTGTCTGTGGTCACATAACACTGGAAAGTGTGTCCAACTTCCTGAAGGACTTCCTGCACAAGGATAGGGATGATGTCAACGTAGAAATCGTATTTCTGCATAAGTAAGTAATCTTTCAAGAATTGTTTTTTTTTGCCTGTTACTAAAATCCTTAGAATGAAACTTGAACAGCCATTAGATTAATGTATTACTTTTGTTAACAAGCTGGTATTTATTTGAAAAACAAATTGTTTTCTATGATTGTTTTACAAATCAATGGCCATTATTGCTGTAAGTCATTGCTGTTTGTTGCTAGTTCTTACCTGTGATTCAGCATCAGATTGGCATGTCTGTAAGAGAAGCCGTTAGAAAGTAGCTATGTGACAGAGATGCAGTATGAAGGATCTTTTCTGATCTGGAAGAGCCACGCTGCTCTGGAAGAGAAGTGCTGCAAGCAGTGCTGGGTCATTATGGGGTGGTTCTGGGATACTGGCCTATTTTAGTCATTTGGCATTGGTTTTGTTGTTTCGTGCAACCAGTTGTTTGTAGGTGGTAAGTGTGTGCAGGGGATGATTGAGCGCACAGGATGTAGTTTTCTGCGGAGAATGCCATGCGAGGATGTTATTTTCAAATGTTTACACATTTTTTTCTGGACTCATATCTGTGTGATGGTAACAAATGATGCATGTGCACAACAGCATGATTAAGTGGGCTATAGGTAGAAGTAAGGAAGCGAAAGCAGTATAATATTTGCTTTTTGAGTACTGCATGGTGTTTCCGCAACATAGGAGAAGCATCAGCAGAAATCTGAATACCTTAAATACATAAATGGATCATAAATAGGATGGTTGATTGGAAACTGACTTCTTTGCTCTTTTTTTGTTTTCTTCCTCTGACGAATTCAGTATCTCCCCTAACCTTGAGCTGGAAGCTCTTTTTAAACGACACTTCACTCAGGTGGAATTTTATCAGGGTTCAGTCCTTAATCCCCATGACCTGGCAAGAGTAAAGGTAATAGCTTTATTGTCTTCTGCTAACTGTCTGTCTTAAAATACTCATTGTATTTGGGGGGGAGGGGGAAGCATGGACTAATAAAGTATGTTACTTATATGTTGTTGTCCTTACAAGACTTGTATTCTTTGTATTTTACTTTCAAAACTACTGTAACATTACGACCCAGAATACATTATTTGCCACTCTACTGAAGTCTTTATGAATTTTTCAGTGAGGTTAATTCAAGAGTCTACCTAACATTAATGTTTGATATGATAGAACATTGTCCTGCTCTACTTGCTTGAAATGCTGTTTTCTTACCTTCATGAGAGTGATTAGAAGATGTATTTTTTTCTCCTGTCATACCGTTTTCCTCTTGTCTAGAATTCTGAAAAAGAGAAAAACCCAATTTGAAATATTTGGCAGCTAAAATGAGGTGCTTTTATTGCCTAAAATCTACTATGGTAAATTATTTGTACTCCTCAAAAGCATGAAATTAAAGGAGATAAAAGAAGAAGAGATGGCAAGCTACTATATATGCAGAATTAGCTCAGGCCTCCTTCCCCGCTGCCTTTTAGTGAAGCATGAGCTAGCCACTTAAGCGAGGGAAATTTTTAGTTAGATTTTTTTGTTAGATTTTTTTTGTTAGCACTTCCTGGAGTAGAAATCCTGTCATCTACCCCTTTCTGGCTGCACAAGTTGCTTAACCTTTTTTAGCACAGCATCCCCGCTTTCAGTTCTGCAGAACAAAAGGTTCTCATTATGACCATAAAATTGCATGTTGGTATTTTGTGTTCTTCTCTCCATCCTTCTTTGTGTTGGTATTTGGCCACATGCACTAAAAAGTGCTTTTGTCATCTGCTTTGAGCTTGCTAGGTCTAAGGATTGTGCACTGGAAGTCTGTAAACAGATTAGCTGTCCTCATGCTTTCTAAAAACTGGTGGTCAGATTCTAAACCATCAGGACAACCATTTCTTTTACCGTCTAGTCTGTTAGTACTTAAATTCACAAATAAAACTGCAGGACTTGTGGAGGCATGTACTGAGATAACTGCAACTTCCTAGTGATTCAGAGGTCTAAATTTCAGTATCTAATTATAAAAGTCATGGTCGTTAACCCTTTCATGCCTTAGCTTCTATAAAGCAGTTAATGACTGAACTACCAACCTGGTGTGAGCAACATGTAAGAAATTCTTATGGCTATATGAGAACTTTTATCATTACCCATATTACCTACAAGGTCTTATAATATTACTGCTCAGCAGTATTGCAAACTGACGATCACATTCATGATGGAAGTATTGCATTCCCTTATATATTCCTGATGAAAGAAGATATGGACATAAAGATTGCTATTTATGTTTGCATTTTCTTTGGTGTCTCAGATAGAGTCAGCAGATGCGTGCCTAATCCTTGCCAATAAATACTGCGCTGACCCAGATGCTGAAGATGCCTCCAACATTATGAGGTAAGTCATTAGTTTTGAGTAGGTTTTGTGTTCTTAATTCAGATTTAACTAGCTTCTGGTGTCTAGATAAGCTGTAGCTGCAGCTTTATATTTGCTGACCTGTGGCACTTGATTATTGCCATGATTCTGAGGAAGGAGAGTTGTTAGAAGTGTCTCAGAAGTTCTGGGATGAGGATTCCTTGAATTCCTGGCTAGTTTTTTTTTTTTTTTATGTAACTGCTTTAGAAAAAGTGTCAGAAGAGGAAATGATGAAATCAGGAAGGAGTGGTCCAAAAATGAACTTTGAAAATAATGTATTTCAGTTTGGGCCTAGTATACAGGCTTTCTTTCCCATTTGCAGTATCCTTCCTTCAACCAAAATATCAATTATTCTTCCAAGAAATTGTACTTTACTAGTATTAACTACAAGAATCTACGCATTCCTCTCTGGTAAACTAGAGATTTCCTTTCACTTTTTTTTTTTTTTCAGAAACAGATTTTAGAGCTCCATTTACATTGAGTAGGATAATACCTTCTAAAAATTAATTACTTCGAAGGAGGCATGAGCCTTTCCTGTTTCTTTGTTAGAACAACTGACAGCCCAAGTTAACAACACAAGAACACTGAGAGCAGAATCCTGCTGCATTTATTTGCCATGTAACTAGTGTTGACTTCCTATCCTCTAAGTCCACAGATAGGCACCATCTTTTGGATCTTGGTTGCTCACTGTGTTACTTTAGTCAATAATTCATTTTTAAGACATCAGGAAAAGGACAATATAGCCATGTGAAACACAGGCTTTGGTACTCTCAATCATTCTGTCAGCCCTAGAGTTGAAATATGCATAACTGGGCACGATCCCAATAGAAAGTAGGGCAAAAGAAGTGCAGCTTTGTTGCAGCAACAGTTTTGTGTTGGGCTGCTTTTAATGATGGAACTGAAGGTCCCTTAATCACCTCATACCTTGCAGCTCTTCAGTAACTCTGCTCCTGCAAATAATTTATCTGCTTATGGGACAGTAAGGCAGATGCTCCTTATCTGCATGTGTGTCATGATGTAAAGATCCTTTGGTTTCCCTAGCTCCATCCTCCTCCTTTGCACTGACAACTAAAAATTGTTTATATTAATTAGGCACATAACATATTAGGGAGCACATGATCTTTTTGTTCTTTTTGTCCTTACTTTCTCCAAAGAAGGGAGAATAAAGGGTAATTTGGTAGATGACAGGTAGAATAGAGTTACAGAGAAGCTGAACTGTTCTGTTTTTTGTGTTCTGTTCATACAACCTTAGTTTTAATGAGATCAGTCTGGCCTTTTGAAAATTTAAATATCAAGGATCTGTTAAAAATTCACTAACACTCTATTGGCCAAGTGTTGTGAACTAATTTTATTGGCCTGTCAAATTCACCTGTTTGCTTTTTATGAATTGAAGGTACAAGCAAAATAAAAAAGTAAAATCTCTTCTCTGAAAAGAGCTCTGGTGGCCTGTGGAAAGTGCAGGGTTTAAACATGTCTAATTCATTTTTCAAACACACTTTTGAGATTCAATGCAAGAAAGCTTATTTTGGCTTTAATTGCTTAAATACATTTAAAAATGTTCAAGTTACAGGTTATTGTGTTTTTTTATAGATTCAATATGTTTAATATAAGTGTGTGTTTAAATATGAATTCACATTCAAATTAATTTCATTAAACAAAATAAAATATTTAATTGAATAATTCAGTAAGTAATGGGGAATTACTAGTGAGAGAAGCTCTGTCTTTTCTCTTTCCAAAACATAGCAAATTAGTGCATAAAGCTTTCTGTATCAGTTTGATGACCTTACCTTTGGTATTCTTGGAAGCCCAAGACAGGCCAGCAGCCTACAAGATACTTTCTTAGGTAAACACTGCAAGCAGTTGTGACAGTCTGATCAGTCTTACTTGCTTAATGGAATGAATGGGGTATCTGAAAAGAGCTTGAGAGGAGTTTGTGGAGAGAGGATTCAGCCTGGTTTTTTAACTAAGTAATTCCTGAAGTTTGATGTTATCTAGTGAAACTTAATTTGACTGGATGTAAAATTTGCATTTGTCTGTCTTTAGTTGTTAAGTTCCACAGCCAGATGAATAAAAGACTACTTGACAATACAGCGAAGTAGAGATACTGTGGTAAAATATCCAGATATTGCACTAGCTAATATATTGTCTTTATTTTTTTTCTTTTATTTCTAGAGTAATTTCCATAAAGAACTACCATCCGAAGATAAGAATTATCACTCAGATGTTGCAGTATCACAATAAGGTAATGTTAAGACTGACAGGATCCTCTCCCCAGTCCTTTTTCCTCTATTGCATTCACTGATGCCCATTTTTTTCTAGATCCCCTGATTTGGAAGCGTTATTTTTTTTTCCAAACAGAAACATGCTTATAAGTCCTGTCATGTAATCCAGTTATAAGTTAATTCAGTTAGGTTATATATGCAAGGGAGCTTATCAAAATCTTGTGGTGTTTATTAAACATCTAGGATTTAATTATCAAAGCTGCAGATTGTCCAAAGTTCCCATTGCTTCCAGATGAGCTTTTAACCACTCAACTACTGTAGATTTTGCCCAACTAAGTTGATTAGAACTATCCAAAATGAATTTGTGGTGTCTTAAGCAAGTCATCTGAAGTTGTTTTTTATGTGGATACTTGAGAAAATATTTAGTTATGGTTTATTGGTAATTGACTGAAATGGATGAAAATGTAGACCTGAAATTACTAGGTAATAAGTATAGGGAATAGTGCAAATTTGTGGCTGTTAAATTTGAGGCCATTAAACCCAATCCTTTGGAGGAGGAAGTCCATAAACTCTTGATTAACAGGACTCAGAAGGATATATAAAGCATATGCAATCTATTTCTTGTATTGCTTCTAAAAGTATCAAATACTGCCCAGTGTTAGAGAAGGGGTTGGCTGGGTAGACCTTCATTACACGAGGTATAATCTAGCTTCAGAAGCTTTAACTTCTTGTTCCTGTAACCTCAGCTTAGACGAGCAATTACCATTGCTTGTGATGTCCTCTTCCTGTGCGGAGTGTGGAATGGAGTAGCTTAGATTTTTACAGAATAAAAGCAAAGCGTTGCTGGTTAATGGTATCTGAGGAAAAGTTGTTTTAAATATGGCATTCTTTATTTCTAATGAAATTTGTTTTCAAGACACAATGTTTTTCAGAGAGTTGAACAGTGATGCTAACCTGCAAAGACAAACAAGAGCATGGAGACTGTTAGCTTATGTGTGTGTATTTGTATGAGAAAGAGTAAAGAAGCCAAAAGAGTTATATTAATAACTGAAAAATATTAATACCTAAAGAACTGAACAATGTATACACTGGAAGACTGCTTTGATCAGATATTTTTCTTTTTGCAGTCCTTATAGCACTTTGAAAAAAGAGTTTAGATTTTCAATAAGCCCAGTTCTTTTCCTTCAGGGAAGAAGGAATTAAAAAAAAAAAAAAGAAAAAGAAAAAGATGTTATATGCCTTAATATGTGACAGTGTCTCATATAGGCTGCAACTTCACATGAATTGTAATCTATTAGATATCTATGCATTTTGCATGTACCTTACCTGACAGAGAGTAGCTTGACCTGTTACTCCCTGTTACTATGTAAAGGAATACGTGAAAAGAAAAATAACGTTATAACGTTCTGTAGTTCATTCAGAGGTGATGATGGGCTGAGTGTCACAGTCATCACTATGCACCTGGAATATGGCATGAGAAATGTGAGATTTTATCCAAAATAGGTAAAATTGCAACAGTTTTCAACATAGAATTTTATTCTTAAATATTTGGAGCGCTTTTGCCTATTCAGAAAAAAAATTAAGCAAGTAACAAAGAAAAGCATTTATTGCTCTTCCTTGAATACTATATATTGTATCCATAAAAGTATCTGTGAGTCTTCACTTTTTTTTTTGTTTGTTTAATTTTGTTTTGTTTTCAGGCCCATCTGCTAAATATTCCAAGCTGGAATTGGAAAGAAGGGGATGATGCAATTTGTCTTGCTGAGCTCAAGCTGGGTTTCATAGCTCAGAGCTGCCTGGCACCGGGCCTTTCAACAATGTTAGCCAACCTCTTCTCGATGAGGTCATTCATAAAGGTAATGTCTTGTCTCATTAGAGAGTATTAGTACACAATTCACTTTGTCAGAGGGTTGAGTAGAAAGCATGGCTCAAATGTGAAACAGATAGGAACACATTAACAGCTTTCATAAGACGAAAAAAAAATGCAACGCACTCTTGCACACAAAAGTTCTCTGCTATAAATCGGGCAGTGAGCCAGGTTCTGTGAAAACTATGTTGTTATTTATTTGGCAAGTGCTTGACCGTTAAAGGGTTGTTCAAAGCACCATCAGTTTCCTGGGAGATTTTTCTGGTGCTTTATGTTTTGTTTTGGACAAAATACATGTTTATCAATCAGGAAAGCCCTGCTGTTAAAACAAAGATACAATTTTTATATATCCCATATGGCAACAAAGTGCCCAGAAAAAAAAAAGATCATTTTGCTCTTTTATATCAAGTGACTAGTGGACTTCAGACTGTGAGTAAATAAGGACCATGTGTTTGAACTGAAGACTCAACTTTCTACAACATCGTTCATGTATTTGTTTCTCCTCAGTCAAAGGCCTGTTTTGGGTTTGCAAGGCAAAGCTGTAAACCAGTTATTCCTAGATTTATATGGCAACTGTAATAATTCAGTGGACCAAGGCATTGACTGCAGCAGCCTGTGCTTCCTTTCTCATTGCTTTTTAAGGACACTGATTCCAACTAAAAAAAGGTTAGGTTTCCAATCTCATGAGAGTTATTAGGGGACAGAAAGCACTGGAATATGAGGTAGGCCATGGTTCGGTTGAAGTTCATCATGCAAGTGGGCAAAGAAAGCCTAATGTCATCAGGTGAGAAAGACAGGAATTTGTCTGTGGAGGTGTGCATTGCAACAGAGCAGTGAGTCTTTACTTCTCATGAAGTAAAAATAAAGTAAGTAAAATTTAACTGAGGGATCCTTTGGAGTCCCCAAAGATTTGGAGACCACAGACTCTTGTGTATCAGAAATATCCTTGGCTACCATATATAGTCAAAAAATGCCCGTTTTAAATGTGGAAACAAGACTGGACTTTTCATTTAATATTTGCTGTTAGACTGCATCTTTATTCATGTTATGAAAAGAAAAATAAAATTTATTTTAATAAAGACAAACTTGGGAACTGCCTATGATTCGTCAGCATATGCTTGCTTTGATGCTAATCCTCTCTACTTATATCCCAAAGGAAAACTGTATTTCTAGTGATCTGCATTCTTTCAGAAGGTCATTTTGGTTTCCCTCTTCTTACCTAATATGGTAATGTGACATTTCAGGGGTCTTAGACATTTGAAACAGTCACACTAATGTATCCAGATAATTGAAGCAACCTTTTCTATGAACCCGCTCTTGACCTCAGAATAGATGTGAAACTTCTGCTTCTGTCCTTCCAGAATCAGAAGCAATCATTTTTCTCTCAGGAAGATGCACATGTATTAGATTTTAATTCAAGTTATTTTAATATTGAATGTAAAATTGCAGTAAGAAATTTGAGAAATTCAAAAGTGATAAAATGGACAGATGTAGGATTTGGAGGGCACTGTATCAGACACACACCTGTTTATGGCCTGGAACTTGTAGTTAGCATGACTGGAAAAACAAAAAGGGAGCATCTTTCCAGAAAATGTAGCTCAAGATTCTGAATACTTTTTTTTTTTTTTTTTTGCCTGTTTTGTCCATTTTCACTTCTATGTTTTCTGTATTTCTATTTTATAAAGTTAATCTAGTATTTTTATTAAAGTGAAGAATTGGACTGACTTACTGATTGATGAACGATTTTAAACTGTAGCTTTGCAAGAACTGTAGCTTTATTAGCAGTAGATTTTCTTCACTAAGGTGGAAAGCATCCTGATCTGTTGAATCCAAAAGTGCTTGAAATATTCTGTTGTTTATTGAATTCATCTGTGTATTTCTATCTGTATAGAAAAAAAAAATTAGCAGTAGATTTAGAGAAAGATATGTGATCATATACATATACATGATATTTTTCAGAATAAGGCAAGCATACACTATAACTTGTATAACCTCAAATGTCATCTTCAGATGTGACTGAAAAGTATAGTCAGACACTACATTGGGAAAATACAAGACTGCTAGTATAAGTCAAAAAAGATATCTGCTATTTTACCAAGGAAGGATTGTCCAGATGAATAGAATGGATGTCATCATTACCAAGGAACTGATAATTCTCTGTAAAATCTAGAGCAAAATACAAGAATTGAGGCTTATTTCTTGCATCAAAATCCATCTGCTCTGGTGGCAGAAAGAGGTTCGTTTCTTTAACTGATGTCCTTTCTCCAAGTTAGAATCTCACTCTAGAAACTTTTTGAAAGAGGAAGCTATTAATAAGATATTAAGTGGAGATTGTGAACCAACAATGTATTTAGCAGGAGAGCAGCTGTGACAGTGCTTCATTGATTGGAGTTGTTAAGGAGGACTCTGTTGAAAAGAAGTATGTGCTCTTGCTAAGAGATATTACAGTTCTTTTCATTGCACCACAGAATTTAAATACTGTCAGACTTCCATAGATTCCTTAGGCAAACATTGTTGGTGAAGTCTTATAGAACTTATATACATCTTATATACGTTAGAAGATTGTCAGGAAAATTTATGAAACTGTTTTTGTTAATTTAAAAAAAGTTTGAAATAAGTGTTTGTTCCTCCTCTTTCCTAAAGTGATTAGAAAGTCATTCAGTGTGCCATAAATGTTTCATAAGTCAAATGAACATTACTAATGGTGACATTGCACAGATTTAAGTCATTATTTGTTACATTACATCAAAATGATTTGTGTAAATTCTCTATCTGATATTAAAGGTAAAACAAACTAAGATACCTCAAGTATTATATTTTGTGTGTATTATATTCCTTTTGGTTTTAGAAATGTAATCTCACATGGAATCTTTTATGTTTCTTTTGCACCAAGCTGAACAAAAAGAAAATCAGCTCAAAAAGGTTATGTAACTTAAAATTGTAAGACCACAAAAAGTGTGGAAAAGATTGTGCAATGCAATGATGTGTTAGGGAAAAAGTCTCCTCACCTTAAACGTATTTTAATGGTCTATTGTTTTTGTAGCACAGAATGTTGTTGATGTTATGTTAATAAAGGTACTGGGACTCTTTATTGCTTGCATAGTCTCAGCACAAGATTGAAATGCTACATTGTAGTGCATTTTTTGTATTGTTTGGATTTGCAAATGTATACCAGAAGTCTACCCATATGAAAAATACTGCAAAGTAAATAAAAGGTAGATGTAGCCAAATTTGCCCCTGTGTACAACCATATAGACTTAGTATTGTTCAAAAAAAAAAACAAAAAAAACACAGAATGTGGTCCTTGAGTGTAACACAATTTCACAAGGCAACTTAGTTTTGTATCTGCAGTCTTGGTAAATCAGTAGGCATCATTCCAGAGCTTAAAAATGACCCAGAGCAGTCTCAGTTCTTTAAGCTACTTTGAGAGTAGGAATGTCGTGCATGCTCTTTTGGCAGCCCTTGCTCAAAACACATAGTTAATGCCAATGTCTTCCACTGAATTGCTTCCTAGCCCAGACTGAGGGGCATAATAAAGGCACACAGGTTTGCACCAGTCAGGTGTTTACATACAGGACACACCACATAACTTTCTAAAGGAGGCAACATTGACCTGTTCTGACACTTAAGAATAGTTTTTTTCAAAAGGAAGAAGAACTTGAAAATGTGGGAAAAAAAATGGTAGCATTTCAATTTATGGTGAGGTCTGTTAAGACACAGCATAATAAACAGAATACCTGATATTAACAAATTTCCTACTGTGCCAGTTTCACTCCACAGGCCTGAGACCAAGAACTAATATAGCTGGTTTCCAAAGATAATGCATTCTGTGAAAGGTTCTGCATACATTTAATCCTCCTAATCGCAGAATCTAGCAATTAAAAACTGTTGTGGTTGAAAGCCATACACTAATTATTATTAAAAAAAATATAAATTATTATAAAAAAGACCTACTACAAGACTGTATGTTAGCATATACCATGAAAAAGCACATCTCAGCTCAGAAATTAACATTTGAGGTTTCTTAATATATTTTGTGTTTTATAACATATTCATTTTATATCTATTTTGGAAATACTCTCACTTACAGAAAAAACTCTGGAAATAGTTGGCTCAGATTGTAGAATTTTTATACTACTAAGCATACTTGTTAGCCTTGATTTAAGGAATCAATGCCATTGAGTAAAAAGATAGTTGATAATTTATAATATTTAAGGAAATTCAATTATAAGGTTCAATTATAAAACTAAGAAGCCTTATATTTATTATGAATGTATGAATGCTTTGAGCCAGTTACTTATCCGTCAGATTTCGATATCCATGTCTAAAGGTATAATAAAACTAGAAACCCACACAATTTGATAGACTGAAAGGATGTTAGGAAGAAATGTTTAAAATACATTGCACTACTTTTTTTTTTTTTTTTTCCCCCCAACTACCAATCAAGGATATTGTTAAAGTGGAATGGATCACTGATATTTCCCAGTGTAGTTGGACTGATTTTATTTTGCTTTCTCTTCAGTATGTAGAACAAAGAATTAGTCCACTTGAGTAAAGCTTATTCATCTTCATAACCTAACTACAGTATTGAAGTTCTTTTCTGGAGTTAAAATAATTGGAATTCACTCACTAATTTACTGTTTTTCTCTTGTGACCTTTTTATTCAGTTTATAAATTTCAGTTTATAAAAGGAAATGTATTTCAAAACATCAGTTGCATGATCATCTTCAAAACATCTGAAATTATTCTCAATGTCATTACTGCTTAAACACTCTCCTTGGATGGTGTTGAGCTGAGCTCTATGAGCAATGCTAGAGAACAGACATTACAAATGCTTTTGTTGTCCTCTAAAGGAGTCTTAATTGTGTCACTTCCTTAATAATTATAAAGACATTCCGCTGTCCTCTCTGTGTTTTCCTCATTAAATGCAAAATGCAATATAATATTCCAAGTCACAGTCTTAGTTCTCTGTCTTAATAGTGCATTTTA